TGTAATATATCGCACTATAATCTGTAGAAAAAATCCTATACATCTACAGGGTTGTAAGCATAAAATTACTTTTTGTAATCGGTCAGCTGTCTGCATTGTTTGCATGAATAAAGAGAGAATCATTTCGACAATATAATATTCCATTTAGGATGTATACATACACTTCAAATACCCCCCCCCCTCTCTCTCTCCAGATTCCAAAGTAGAATTTTTGCTACTTAAGGCGAAATTTGTTTATTTCTGTTAAGAAGTCACAATTATCATTCTTAAAACAACATTTATGCTGTTACTTAGATTCCTCAGGAATGGTTGTTCAATGTATTAAAAAGTAAATATATTTTTGAATACATATATGTTATCAGCATAATTTAAAATACTGGTTTATTACAAACATTGATAAGTATGGCTTCCGAAAATTGTATATGGAAATTTTAAAGATAAACTAAAAAAAAAAATCTATGTTCCTTAATATACTTGTCGTAATGGGAAAAGGATTCGGAGTTGTACAAATAGCAAGCAGAATGGAATCACTATAACTGAAAACAGTTTAGTGCTGTAAAAGCAAAGAATAAATATCCTCAAGGAAAGAATCATACATGCCAACTTTCCCGATTTAGGCGGGATCCTCCCGATTTTACCCTTTGATCCCGCTCTCCCGATCGGGAAAGCAAAATTGCCCTAAAGTCCCGATTTGAAAAAATTCAACCTAAAATTTCCGATTTTCCCTACCGAAATATTTTGTCAATCGGGATTTGACTATCAGACTTGTTTATTCAATGCACACAGATTAGTCTCTTTGTTTATTTAACTCATGCAGAGGTGTTAATTAGCACAGGAAATCACTTCTCGCTTGAACGCACACAGCAGTCCAGGTACAGGTAACATAGCCTGGGGCGGTTAGGGGATTAAACTTTTCAGTAAGAAGGGGTATGCATAGTGAAACACATAGATTTAGAGGTTAATTAAATATCATTTTAATAAAAACAAAAAATCAATACAGTGATATGATAAACTAACAACAAAATCGGAATTAATCCATGTTGATCGTTTTTTAAAAACGAAAGTAGAAAACAACAAAGCATAGCTGCTGATTTTATCTGCTTGTAATAAAAATATTGTAAAGTTTACCTGTTAAAATAAGATGAAAATAATTTAGATGAAACAACAAAGTCTTATACCTCAAGTACACTGAATCCCCCCCCCCCCACCCATGTAATATCACAAGGGAATACCCACACAACACTGCCAAGGTTATGCAAAAGTTCATCATGATTATAACAATTTTAATTTTTGTTTGGGATAGGGGGTATCCTTGTTTTAGATAATTTATTATCTCAAGAGTAAATTTATTTCTTCAAATTGTTTTGTGTGTGTGAAATACCGGTAATTAATCATCATGATGTCTAGTTATTTATAGGAAATAAAATGTCACTTCTGTTTAAAGTACATCCACAAACAAATTTTCTTATCTCTCTCTCTCTCTCTCTCTCTCTCACGCGCACACACACCCTCACACACACAATGCATTGCAATTTTTCAATATTTCTTTCAATTTAATGTCTAATTAGGAAATTCTAATTGTGTAAAATGTAAATATAGAATTTTACAAATGTTTCCCAGAAACTGTACAGTAACAAAATCTCATATATTTCTAAAACTTTGCAAAAAAATTTATTGAACTGAAAGTTGTACATTTTCACATTTCTCACCAAATTATGTGTCTTTTCAAACATAATGTTGTTAAACTAAACAGATATCACTTCTTTAGTGAGAGAGGTACCTATTTAAGCAAAAGATATTTGAATTTTGGAAGGAAAAAATTTGTTTGTATTATTTATTCTTAAATTGTATTAACAAGTGATATTGATATTATAAATTTAAAAAAAAGGGGATAAACATTTTATTTTCACGACAAAATGTCGCGAATTTAAAGCTTTGAAAATTGTTGTCACGTGCAAAATCCCCCATGGGAATTTTCAAAAGTTGGCATGTATGAAGAATAAATATCAGAAAAGAAGATAAAGCATCATTTTAAATTATTTGGAACTTCAACACGCCTGATTTTAGCAATAGTCTTATATGTTTTTCCTCTTAATGATGACTCGATACTTACATGTATTTTTTTAACATATTTTATTGAAGTAATCAATTGGATCGGAAACAAGTTCTGACAACTTACGAGTTCCCATCCATATATATATATATATATATATATATATATATATATATATATATATATATATATATATATATATATATATATATATATATATATATATATATATATATACATACAAATCATAAACTAATTAATATTATACAGCTATTTAAACCTACAGGATTCAACAATAAATCTGTGGACAGCGGCAAAAATGCCTTTATTCAGCTCAAGTGAGAAGTTTTCGTTGCCCCAAAGTAACGATACTTATCTTGGATCCGTTTTACAAAAGAACTTAGATTAAAGACATACGCAACGTACTTTAGCTACTGATAATTTTTCAAGATATTTTTAATTTAAAGGCAGAGATATTTTACCGGTTGGTAAATTCCAGGTGAAGGAGGGGCTAATTTCGTACAGGTGTGAATGCCTTGAGGGCTAGCAGTCTACCTGTGGTCGTTTGTCTCCTAATCCCTATACACAGGAAGTGATTTAATACACAGTAGAGTACCCAAGAAGTCAAACTTTACATGTATTGAGATTTTGAGATGATTTTAAATTAGAAATAAAAAAGTTATAAATAAAGTTTAATCTCAATGATTTTTAATACCGTAATTTGTAATTGCAGGGACCTATATACTAGTATATAGGTCCCTGGTAATTGTATGTGTGTCAAAGCATCCCCACCCATTACAAAAATTATTATTCAAAGTATTTGTTGAGCTTTGAAAAAAAGTTATTAATACCAAATTTTGATACATATTATTAATATCATAATTATTTCAAATACTAAAGGATTGTATATATATATATATATATATATATATATATATATATATATATATATATATATATATATATATATATATATATATGTTATCAAGCTAAAAATTCCATAGTAATACATCTTCTCTATTGTTATACCATGTGTGGTAAATATCAAAGGATCAAAAGTTAATTTGAAGGTCACCACAAGTGCCAAACAAGGTGTACACGGTATACACAGGGACTAGTAAGTAAATGTCAATCAAGTTCTAGCACCCAATGATGTACCTTAATGCACTTGATTGACAGGGGTGTACTACACAGACCAGGAATTTTTGAAGGTGGTGCTTAAAATCTCTGCCTTTAAGATTGTAGTGTCATCAGATGTCCGTAGACAAAAAATCAGCATGCATTACCAGGGGTTTTGAAAAGATATTAATTAATGAAAATTCTTCTATAATTCAAAGAAAAATATACAAAAATTGCTAAACATATATTCTAGATGTTTTGTTTATCCAAACTTGTTTTAGGGGAAGTGTACAACAGCATATATAGACATTAAAATTAGCACACAGTTCCTTTTGAAAGCATTGGAACTCTTCAACTCAAGGGAAAAAGACAATAAAGTTCAAACTACGTTGCGTATGTCCTTAAGACCAACAATTTTAGCCGTTTCTAACACCTTGCCTACCTAATATTTTTCCTTGCAAGTTACTTTCTTAAAAAAATCATTCCAAATTCTCAAAAAATTAGATATACATTTTCAAATTAATGTAAAGAAGAAAAAAAAAATCACAAAACATATTTTGGTCTCAGACATAAGTTCTTTTGTAAAACGGGGCCTGTGTGTTTTATTTTTCTTCCTAATACATGTATATTCAAATCAACAAAACACGAATTAAAGACGAAATAAAAAGGAAAACCAACAAATCTTAATGCGTCCATTCCCCCTTTAACAAATGATTTCTTAATGTTGGATCGGATAAGTTTAGACAAAGATTTAAATCTAACGATTATATCTATTCACCATTTTGACAATGTTTATTAGAAAATAATTTTTTAAAGAGAAATTAACCTCGTTTTGTAAGGATTTTATATCTTAATTAACTTCATGATAACTTCATGTTACATGTATCAACTGTTTTTTCTTTTTAATGAATAGTGCGAAATGAAACTCCTTCATTTTTTGTACTTTTCTAGTTTGATATTAACAAGGTAATAAAGAAATAGAACAAAAAATAATATATATACGTATTTAAACAGAACTGAAAATTTGGTAGAAAAGGCAAATGAATTAATGTACAGGTACACTCACCAACAAAAACAATACCGGTCAAAACATACATTTGATCCAGAATTTTAGGGCGAGAAATGTCTTGTTCTGTGTTTTTTGAACTGCTCCAGGGAATCCACACAGTCATAATGCTTCCATAAAAACATCTGAATTATGTCCATAATTAAATCATAATGAGAATACTTTGCTATATTGAAAATTAAATATTTGTTTTCCATTTCTCATTTCTAATGAAAAAGGGTGAATATAAGAACTATGATCAATCTCGCAAATCCTATTAAATAGTTTCAGCAAGTCTATATCGTTAAATCCCCGACATCGAACATAATCAATTTCGAAAATTGTTAAACCTGATTTTTTTCTTTAGAACAATTAATTGTAATAAATGTCAAAATTGAGTATATATACACCTTATTATATTCTATCTCCTTGATTATTTATTAAGAATAGATACAGACCCATTAATAAATGCATATAAGTGATTAACAGAAACTAAGTCTGGACAGACTGTGCTAATTTGGTCGTTCTCCATACAATATTTTACGACGACACCTTGAAACTAATCTAGAATTAGAATTAATGTATCCATAATGACTATTACATGAGTTTAATTATCATTTTATACCCTTGTAATCGTTGGACGGTTTTGATTTGCGTCGGGTGTTGTATTGATCTATTACACCATATACATCATATTTGACATGGGGGCGTGTCTTCTCCAAGACACGGTATAAGAGAGAACACTGAGGGGAAAAAATTGAAGGGTACGAGAGCACGTTCACTACAACAGGCCAGGAATTAGTGTAAGAAAGTTATATATATATATATATATATATATATATATATATATATATATATATATATATATATATATATATATATATATATATATTTCTCTGTTTATTCTTTTGCCATATTCATAAGCTTTCGAATAATAGTTTGGACAATTCACAATTTCGATAAAAATGTTCGCTGTTTCAATGAGTAAAGTGTATTGATATTCGTAAGATAGTAAAGACAAAGATTTTTATTAATATTCATACATTTATTAATTTTATGTATTCGAATAGAGAAATCAATATTTTCATATCTAATCTTGTGAGTGAAAGCAGATGTGTCCACTCTTATAAGTTAATGTCTTGGACCATTTGTCGCAGTGAGGGAACGGTGTTACTCAGGATTTAAGGAGGGTTTCCTTTCATATTTATTGTGTTTAAAATTTTGTGTACTTTTAATAGATTCGAAAAGACAATATTATCAAGTGATGGTATCAATTAAATTAAATTTGACAGTCTTATTTTAGCAGCAAGGTCAGTTCAAGGTCATTATCTTTTTTCTCTTTTCACTGAAGAAAAAAATTACTGTCACCAATCATGTGATGCCTACTTCTATTTTGAAATATTAAATGTTTTTTTCTTTTTGCGTAGAAGGATGATACATAAGATCTATCTGTTAATAATATTGCTAACCCGTATTTCCTTTAATTTTTTTTAAAATTATAAGGAAAATTTCTGATTTTTCTTTTGCTTCATTTATTAACTTTTTTCTTATTTTCACATGTTGGAGTAGTCATATAAAGCTGCAAAATGATACCAAAACATAAAACATTAATCGTTAAATAAGTGAAAAGAAAGGGTGTTTACTAATTTTTCACTCAAATCTGCTTTTTGGTTGGAAGCTTACAATGCTAACAAGATTGTAGATTGTCTGGAAATAAATATTTATTGCATATTTTCTTATTTTGCGGAACAGCGGCGAAGGAAATATCACGCTCTGCTTTTTTGACCTACTACAAAATACTGAATTTAATTCGTATCTTGAAACACTGAAAGGATTAAAGGATTTCCTGAAGTTAATGAAATTAATATTAAAGGACTTGTTTAAAATCCCTGCTAGATTTTATTAAACCAAGTTCCCCATTTCTATGTCAAGTTGTACATTTGTGAGAAAGATAGAAAAATACGATTTTTTAAAATCCTATCATCCAAACAAAAGACATTTAAGCAAATATAATTTGAATATTTTTAATTAGTCGGAAACCAGAGAAGAATCCCCTCTTAAGCTTAATGAAGACTTTCAAGTTTATAATTGATTTCTACTTCTACCCTTGCAGCACATTGAGAGGATGTTGAGAATTCTGTGCATGTTACTGATGGCCCTGTACCTCATTTCGTGCGTCTCCGCTTACGTCATCTACCGAGTCCCGGTCCCTGTCTATAGGAGACCTGTATATAGGACATTTTATCATCCAGACATTGATGATGATAATATCGTCTTCCTTCACGGTGAGTTGTCTTTTTATGATAATTCCCATGTTTCTCGTTGATGACAATCCATGGAATACACCATGTACAACATAGTTTTCAGTACTACTGAATTACTACTACAATGTAAAAGTACACGATTTATGTCGCTTGAACCTCGTTTTGTAGCCCCGGGTTCTGTGCTTGTCTTGGGAACGAGTGGTTCAACATGTTATGATCCAATGCTCCTTCCTTTCATTACTTTACACACTGTATTTTTTGTTGTCAAGATTTTCTTGCTTCATGATTTTTTGTCCGTGTGACAGTCCAATGAAATGTTTGTAAGTCATCAATATGATCGACATCGGTGTTTTTGAACAATATATGTCATATATTAGCACTCTCCGGAAAGATTGAGGCGGTTCCCCTGATAAGGATTTTTTTAAATACATTTTATACATCCTTATAAATCTGTACAATTGTCATCAATTTATTGGACATTATTGTGATATTTTGAAAGAAAAATTAAAATCTATGCGGTTAAACTTATTCATTTTACTTATATAAACATAACAAAAGTTGTTATTTTCATGGTTTTTGAGAAAAGTTTGTTTGTATCATCTGTCCTTAAAAGAAATCATTGTTGGCCAAATACTTTCCTTATCAAATAACCAATTTTATTTTAGTCGCAAAAAGAAAAAAAGAAAAAAAAAACAATCTAGCAAAATTATTAAGGGATATAATAATTGTTGTTATTTATTAGTTACGTCAAGGGGCATTATCCTGTTAGGAAACACGTGATTTGCAAAGTATGCTCACTAGTTACAATTTGACACCAGATTTTGGATAAAGTTGATATAGGAACTAAAAATATTTCTGTGGGGTGTGACCCCCCCCCCCACGCAAAGACCCTTTCCGAAGGCTCCCCTTTCCAAATCAATTCGCCTCCCCAGTGTTTAATACCTTCCGACTATCCTGTATTTTAATAGCAGTATCTTGTATATCAACATATGATTCAAGACATTCATTGCGAATTTCTATGGAATTCTTTAATCGAGCATTTGGGGATTAGAAACAATTTCCCTTGTCAGCAATTACATGTACTTCGAAAATAGCACGTGGAGAGTAAGGTAAATTATAGACTATAATTATTATAAAAACAATTAGAATGCTGATTGTTTTATTTTCAATGATATATTGAGAGAATTGCGCCCGCCAACTACACCCCAAGCTTAGAAGTGGAGAAACTGTGTACGTTTCCTATTAGTATGTTTCTACGCTGCTCTCAGCACGTATATTAACGAAGAATGTACGTGACAAATAGCACGTTTCTCAAAACTGAATTATACGAAGATTAAATAAAAAAAAAAAGAATGACACACATTTTTTAATGAAATTCCTCGTTTTTCATAAAGTATTGCGAATCGGTTTTTGATTCATTTCTCGGAGAGCAAAATAATTTTATATCTAATTCTCGATACCTCGTAGTCCGCGGAAAAACTTCGAGAGAATCGAGAGTTTCAGCTTTCAAGAGGATAGAATTTTCCGGGATGGTTGACGGTTTTAAAATAAATTTATGATTTTCATAATTAGGTTACACACGTGCTTTAAAAAGAATACTCTGTACAGATCTGAGTGTCCATTTTTTTTTAAATGGTATAAAAGAAAAAAAAAATTATATTTTCATTATTTGTTCATATTATACTTTCATGTAGATATACTTGAATTTGATTCGTCGAGAAAATATAATGAATAGTGCATGTAGCTGAGGGTAACAATGAAATTTTTCACTCCAAGAAATCCATTGTCAACCTCGGCTACGCTTCGGTTGACGATGGATTTCTTGTGGTGAAAATGTTCAATGTTTCCCTTAACTACATGTACTATTTATATACTGTTAATATCAAAAATCGAACAAAGTTGTGTAAGTAGTCGTCATATTGACAATGATGCTGTTATGCATAGTTTCTGCATTTTTTTAATGAAATGTCTTTCTTTGCTAATATAGAAATTAACGGTTGCAGCTATTGTAGAGAAAATACATAGCCCGCGTAAATGTTTTCTGCACAACTGCAACCTTAATTTCCGTAGTGTCTGTAAGATTTGCTATGGAAAAAAATATTTGATCAGTCCTTTGATAGCAAGTTAGATATATTAACTTTGAGTGTTAACCAACTAAGCTATTAACTTAAGGAACTGGGTGCATAATCCAAAGAGAAGATTAACAAACGAAAACCATTGTATAAATTCATTTATTTTTATATACATAAGTATAACATTATAATCAAAAGTAATACTTATAAACATATTGGACTCTTCTTATTTATGATCAAAAAAAAAAAAAAAATACAATCCAGTTTTAAACCAGCTTCAAACTGAACTGTTTATGTATACCGCGCGCAACATCTTTTAAGAAACATTGATTTAATTTTATATATTAAAAAAAAAACTGTTTCGAACATCAGCTAATTTTCTCTTCTTTTTTCTTTAGGTTAAAAAAACACAAGAAGTTGTACAGAATGGAATGATGCATGAACTCTGCGGTGTGGCAACGGTTCATCTGTGTATTGCGCAATAATTGTTATTAAATTATTTTGTCTTTTTTGATATCGTATTTTTGTCAATTAAAATAGGAACTATAATATATATATATGTGTGTGTGTGTTTTTCTCTTTCGAGTTGCATGACGCACATTTTAGATATTTTATGCATTAAAAACATACTCATGCATTCAAGCACCAGTAGCCTTTGAAATCAATAGCCTCAGTAATATTAATGTTCGGTCATATTTTTTGAAAATTTTTTATTGATGATACAGAAAACTTTCATTGATAATATAGAACAGATATTAAATAAATGTGGAAAACTGCTCAATATTAGACAAAATGAGCGGTACATTTCGTTTGACTGAGTAAAGTTATCCGTCCCTGGATTCTGGTGCTTCTCAAAGAAATCACTCAGTCCGAGCGAAAAATTGGACCCAACTGAAAATCAATGTATATAAATGTTTTCAAAATAGGTTGTTGTGTTTGTATTAAATAGTCAACACTCGATCTAACGACAGCTTGTAATTGCAAACAAGGTCATTGTATTGACCATTGAAATGTTTACTTAAAACTTATTTGTTGATACCCTTGTAACATCGAAGTATTTGTCAGAAGCCTGCATTGGTTTAGAACATTCTTTAGTTCTCGAATTAACGGAGGCATAAACACTATATGCAGGTGGTAAAAGTATATTCTACATAAATCAGGGAAGTTGAAAATAGAAAAGTTGAATCATGTTCACTATAAAAGTTATGTTAGTTAACCATCCATGTCTTTCTTAAGTAAAACATCCAAATATGAATCAGATTGGTCAGACTCTTTGGTTTCTTTTATTAAGAGGTTAGTGGGATATCAAATCAGTGTATGAATGAAAATAAATAATGTTAATTGATAAAACATCGTCGGTAAATGAAGGCCGCAACAAGAGACTTCTTCAATTCATATAGAAGTTTTAGAATAAATTCTGCTCCATCAGAGAGCAAGAAAGGACTGCAAATAAAGGGGTACAATTTGTACCCATGGGAACTCTTACAGATTGTTGGAAGACCTGGGTCCCGTTTGAAAAAAAAACAAAAAACTTACGACTAAGACCAAAATGTAATTTTGTGAATAACTTTCTAATTTACTTTTATTTGAAAATGGCTTTAATCTTTTATATGAAAAATTAAGAAAGATATTTAAATGTAAGCAGTTTTTAACAGAATCATTCATTTTGCAAGATTTTACAATCAACCTAACCTTTTGATCATAGTCGTAAGGTCTTTTGCAAAACGCGCCCCTGATCTCAAAAGACTACATAGATATTGTTAATTTCATAAATACCCCCCCCCCCCCAAAAAAAAAAAATTGTCAAAAAACCTTAATGAAACATTTCAACAAATAATTTGTCTAAAACAGACTATGATTTCTTTTTTATGCCAGTCTTTTTTTCCCCCAGAGATGAATTTGCGAAGTTAGAAATAATGTAATCAAATCAATATTTTTCCTGCCTTATGGTAAATCCCGTTCAGATGGGAACTACATGCTCGTTTTATTATACACAGTAGAGGAATACCAGCTTGTCAAGTCACTGTGCAAAAACACACAAACCTGGAGGGCAATTAGAAAAATGAAGCCTCGGTTATGTCATAATTATGCTGTGAACCCAAAAATCTAACTTGCAAAGATTTTGTCAAAGACGTGCAATTTGATTGATCACCACCTCAATCCTCCATATATGACTAGCCTGGTCCTACTACGGAATGAAACAGTTGCCATAATCAAGACAACAATTACTGATGCCAATAGAGCATTATTATACAAAAACAAGCAGGAATTGTCATAGAAGCTTCTTCCTGCCACTGGTGAGGGACTACTTAATATATTATTTCATCATGTTCGTCAAATCTAGATTGTATTGAAAGTGTACCAAAGATATGAGCTGCAAACTTGGGTTTGTTTATTCCAGATTCTGCAGATTCAAAGACCCTTGAAACATCTGCTGTTTTGGGGCTGGAAAAAAAACAACAAATGCCTTGCAAAATGGCTTTAAATATTCTTTTACGATTAAAATGATTAAAAATCTGTGAAAATGGCCTAGCCATTCCTGAGAGGATGGTGAAAATGTTCACAAGTTTACCGTTTTTGCAATACATGTACTAACAACGCCAGACGACAGACTGAAAGGATAGTGCTCAATGACAATTTAACTAAGTGACCCTAACGACGTAACCCGGGTGACTAATAACTTTATGATTTTGAGCTAAGTAGCCCTCAATTTTACCTTGATCTCTTGTTGCACTTTTTAAAATGTTGATTATTTATGTTTTTAAACAGTCCTGAGTTGTAAAAAAAAATCTCCATTTTTTCAATTTTTGTCATCTGGTACTATGGCAACCAAGTCATATAGCAACCAAATTATGCTTTATTTAGTTTTTTGTGTCTGCCATTTTAATGAGCAAAATTACATCAAATCAAGCGTTCCAAAGAATTTTCAGTAGTTACAGAGAAAAGATTTTGAAATGAAAAGACCTCTTTATTGCCAGAAAAATGACATTTTTTGAGTGAAGAAAGGTCAAATAATTGACCATGCGAATTAATTTGAAACTATTTTGCTGTCACAAACTTTAATGTGTCTATTCAAGATGGAAAAAGATTGTGTTTGTTCACATAATTTATTTGAATAAAAATATTAGAGGAAAAATTTATTAATGTGTTGGACGTGATAATAGTGCAAAAAGGTCATATTAAATGCTTTTTGTTTTGATTTTTAATTAAGCTATGTGTGTAGATTCTAAAAATATACTTTTGATAACAGGAGCCAGCCTCCTTAAGCGATATTGGTGAGAACTAGAAGATTGCGCTATTGATAAGTTGTGGTTTTGACATTTAAGGTATCCGATCCACAATAGCCTCAGATTCAATGAATCTGAATGCATAACAGATATATATTGGCTGAATACTCGGTATATGTAGACATAATCTTCATGTTTTAGTATCAATATGTAAGAGCGGAATGTGTCCTAATTTTTTACCTTTGTCCTGTCCTTGAAGAGTTATCCCCCTTTGCTTTTAATCAATAAAAATCAATTCTAAAACAATCCATCTGGCAAAAAATTAGTTTTCAATCGTTTTTCTATTCTTAATAATTAAATACATCTTTCCACCAAAGCATTTTTTTGATATTCTTAGTATTTAAATTTTTATTTTCAAAAATTTGCTTGTCCCCATAGACCTCAATGCATTCTTTATTAATTAATTACTGCTTTGGTAATTATATTTTTGAAAATTTCTCCTGGTAAATCCTTTTCTACTCTAAAATGCTTTGAATTAATTTCCGAGTATTTAATACAGGATGGATATTTAAGGTTAGAAAATTATGTCCTTTTATGGATCGGATACCTTAATTCGCAAGTATCGAAAATCGAGTTCAGTTGGGGCGGCGAAATTTCCACTTTTCATATTTCGGACTAAACAGAGGGATATCAAAAACCACATGTTCAGTGGATATCACACATTGGATAAAATTTCATATGATATCCCACAGATGTGATTTTAAATACGAATCTAAACGCCAACAAAATGTGAAAATATTTTAGGCCATCGTATCTATATACATGTATTCTTTTTAATTTTAGTACAATTGACTGAGCTACAACAATAACCCAACGGTGTTTTCTACGGACTTGATTCATAGAAAAATAAATCTAAAAACAGAATCACACACTCTGTGAAAGTGTATTGCGCTCTCACAGAAAAGTGTGCGATTCGTTTTAAAGCTTTATTTTCCAATTCGAAATGTATGCTACTTTTTGTACTTTTTCCATTTTTGATAAACTAGAGAAATCAAACTGCATAAGGAATCAGACACAAAAACAATTTTATGTATATTAAAAGATATCTTATCCATCTGAAGGGTGGGTCGGAACTCTTTGCTAGCAAAAATGAAATAATGCAATTAGAAGATGGTTGAAGGTTGTGTCCATCGTTAGACTATGTAAACCTCCTAAAAAAAAGAGCTTTGTATAAAAATATAGGAAATTGCATTCAGTTTTACAAGTGGATCATTTGATTATTTCATTACCAAATAATGATTTATGGCTAGAAGAAATATATTTCATATTTTAAGGTGGATCTGTTTGGTAATGTGTAATGTTTATTCTACTAGACAGACAGGTCTGTATACAAAGAGCGAGGTTTAAGGAAGGTTATATTTGGCCCCGTGGATTTCTGAAAAATCAATACTAGTCAGGTTTAGTTGAAATCGCAATAAATATGATTTGAAGTTTTGAACTCATTCTTACCACCTAATAAAAAAAAAATTAATTTTCTTGCCAATCTATGTATCATGATTTAAAAATTGTGTCAGGAATTAATAAATTGTGTCTGTAAATTGTGTCAGGAATTAATAAATTGTGTCATTGTTCCCATTTGCTGATATTTTCTTCAAAAATTGTCAAAATTTCAAGATTTATATCTAAATAGAGAACAACCTACGGTCTAAAAAACAAGTTTATATACTGGGAAAAAACTGTTATTATAGCAAATACATGTATATACTTTTGGATCGAGGGTTGTGCTCATATTTTAATTCTTTATTGAATGTACCCAAATAGCACAACTTTCCGTAAAATTCAAGAACTTTGCAATTTTACAAAGCTCGTTTTCGAATACGTGGACTCAGCCTCTAAGGAGGAACTTTCTTACATTTATTAAAATCCCCAGGTCTCTACTTTATATTAATGTTTGAATTAGGTGATAATTCAATTCTAAATATGAAGTGAACTTTTCATATTGTGCTAATGATTAAATTTTATGTGATTTATATAACGCAGCCACGTAGGGATTGAAAATGTTTAACTGAGGACCGATTCATAAGAAAAAAAAATCACAAAAATTTTATGAATAATTATGTGTATAAAATTTGCTACGAAAAAATACGACTTTGTTACTAGTCTAATATATGTTCTGTCCTTTGACAGTGTGTCTAGCAAATTGGGTACAATGACTTTGTGAGTGTTAAGGACAGACGATACGCTCCTCAATAATATATAATTTTTTCTAAGATTTTGTCATTGAAGTATTGCTACTTTAACATGT